AGTTAATGTTATAACTTGTTATTCTCCTTATTCATTTGGAAAGTTTGATAATTAATTCATGGAGTAGTGTGGGTTTCATAACCTGACAAGTTTTTATGTTATAGCAAAGCAACAAGCAGACATATTTTCCTACATCTATGCAAATATATATGAATATATGTGATATTTGTAAGTTAAATAAATAAAATCAGCGTTTTTTTATCTTTAAGGAGTAGTTGTATTCTATTTTATATTACATTTAGTTAAATTTATCTACATTTATACAACTACTCCTAGTGTAGGATAGCAGTCTTACATCTATCTGGTCCTTTGAGGGCAACCATTTATTCTGATGTGGCCCTTCGGTGAAAATGAGTTCGACACCCCTGCAATACCAAGGGTGTGAAGCTTACTCATAAAAATCCTGCTACTTTTCTTTTCTTCTTGTTTTTTTTTTTTTAATTATTATTTTTTTTTAGCTAAAGGCCAATTTTAAAACCTACATTAACTCAAATCTGATACCCACCATCTTTTCTAGGTCATGGCCAATGTTATTTGGGGACTGTCAATCACATACAGAAATTCAAATACAAATAGATGGAGTGAAAATTGAAAGAGTTCATGAAACAAATTTCTTGGTGTCATTATTGATGATAAACTCCACTGGAAACCACACATAAAATATGTTCAACGTAAAGTCTCAAGAAATATCGCCCTCTTAAAGAAAGCCAAGTTGGTCATAGAACAAAAAGCATCACATGTACTCTACTGTTCACTAATCTTACCTTATTTAAGCTATTGTGCAGAAATCTGGGGCAATAATTATAAAACTACACTACAGGCATTAACAATACTACAAAAAAGAGCAATAAGAATAATCCATGAGGTGGGATATTTAGAAAGCACTAATATACTATTTGTAAAATCTAAATTATTACAGTTCATTGACATAATGAAACTACAGACAGCTCTAATTCTTTACAAAGCAAAAAATAAACAATTACCAGAAAACATTCAAAACCTGTTTAAAATTAAGGAGCAAATGTATATGTTATGGGGGGAATCAAAGTTTAAAATATGCTAATTCAGAACTACTAGAAAAAACTTTGTGTATCAGTAAGTGGAGTCAAACTGTGGAATAATTTGAATATTGAACTTAAACAATGTCCAAACACAAAACTGTTCAAATTATCATATAAACATATGATTATTGCTGGATATAATGTATAATAATATTATTCATTTATTGTTGTTGTTGTTGTTTTTTTGTTTGTTTTGTTTTGTTATTGATGCTTTTGTTATTGGTGAAGTTAAAGGAATAATAATTGTACATCTACTATAGTTAACTTAAATAGATACTATATTGATGGATAAATATGGGTTTATTTGTTATGCTGTATGTATGGATTATACATGTAATGAATGTAAGATTATGTAAGTGGTTAAGGAGTGGGAATTTTGATAAGTTTATACTTTTACCCACTCCCTTGAATATGTAAAACAAAAAGTTTGACATGTTGTTTCATGCTATATATACATATATATATATACATACATACATACATATATATATATATATATATATATATATATATATATATATATATATACATACACATACATACACAC